TGACACACACTGACACACACTGACACACACTGACACACACTGATACACACTGACACACACTGACACACACTGATACACACTGACACACACTGACACACACTGACACACACTGATACACACTGACACACACTGACACACACTGACACACACTGATACACACTGACACACACTGACACACACTGACACACACTGACACACACTGATACACACTGACACACACTGACACACACTGATACACACTGACACACACTGATACACACTGACACACACTGACACACACTGACACACACTGATACACACTGATACACACTGATACACACTGATACACACTGATACACACTGACACACACTGATACACACTGATACACACTGACACACACTGACACACACTGACACACACTGACACACACTGATACACACTGATACACACTGACACACTGACACACACTGATACACACTGACACACACTGACACACACTGACACACACTGACACACACTGACACACACTGATACACACTGACACACACTGACACACTGACACACACTGATACACACTGACACACACTGATACACACTGATACACACTGAACACACTGATACACACTGACACACACTGATACACACTGACACACACTGACACACACTGACACACACTGACACACACTGACACACACTGATACACACACTGATAACACTGACACACACTGACACACACTGACACACACTGACACACACTGATACACACTGACACACACTGATACACACACTAATACACACTGACACACACTGACACACACTAACACACTGACACACACTGATACACACTGACACACACTGATACACACACTAATACACACTGATACACACTGACACACACTGACACACACTGACACACACTGACACACACTGATACACACTGACACACACTGATACACACACTAATACACACTGATACACACTGACACACACTGACACACACTGATACACACTGATACACACTGACACACACTGATACACACTAATACACACTGATACACACTGATACACACTGACACACACTGATACACACTGATACACACTGACACACACTGATACACACTGATACACACTGACACACACTGACACACACTGACACACACTGACACACACTGATACACACTGATACACACTGACACACACTGACACACACTGATACACACTGACACACACTGATACACACTGACACACACTGACACACACTGATACACACTGACACACACTGACACACATGACACACACTGACACACACTGATACACACTGACACACACTGATACACACTGATACACACTGACACACACTGATACACACTGACACACACTGATAGACACTGACACACACTGACACACACTGACACACACTGACACACACTGATACACACTGACACACACTGATACACACACTAATACACACTGACACACACTGACACACACTAACACACACTGATACACACTGACACACACTGACACACACTGACACACACTGATACACACACTAATACACACTGACACACACTGACACACACTGATACACACTGACACACACTGACACACACTGACACACACTGACACACACTGATACACACTGACACACACTGATACACACTGACACACACTGATACACACACTAACACACACTGATACACACTGACACACACTGATACACACTGACACACACTGACACACACTGATACACACTGATACACACTGACACACACTGACACACACTGACACACACTGACACACACTGACACACACTGATACACACTGACACACACTGATACACACTGATACACACTGACACACTGATACACACTGACACACACTGACACACACTGACACACACTGATACACACACTGATACACACTGACACACACTGACACACACTGACACACACTGACACACACTGATACACACTGACACACACTGATACACACACTAATACACACTGACACACACTGACACACACTAACACACACTGATACACACTGACACACACTGACACACACTGACACACACTGATACACACACTAATACACACTGACACACACTGACACACACTGACACACACTGACACACACTGATACACACTGACACACACTGATACACACTAATACACACTGACACACACTGACACACACTGATACACACTGATACACACTGACACACACTGATACACACTGACACACACTGATACACTCTAATACACACTGACACACACTGACACACACTGACACACACTGATACACACTGATACACACTGATACACACTGACACACACTGACACACTGATACACACTGATACACACTGACACACACTGATACACACTGACACACACTGACACACACTGATACACACTGACACACACTGACACACACTGATACACACTGACACACACTGATACACACTGACACACACTGACACACACTGATACACACTGATACACTGACACACACACTGATACACACTGACACACTGACACACACTGATACACACTGATACACACTAATACACACTGACACACACTGACACACACTGACACACACTGATACACACACTGACACACACTAATACACACTGACACACACTGATACACACTAATACACACTGATACACACTGACACACACTGATACACACTGACACACACTGACACACACTAATACACACTGACACACTGATACACACTAATACACACTGACACACACTGACACACACTGACACACACTGATACACACTGACACACACACTGATACACACTGACACACACTAATACACACTAATACACACTGACACACTAATACACACTGACACACACTGATACACACTAATACACACTGACACACACTGATACACACTAATACACACTGACACACACTGACACACACTGACACACTAATACACACTGACACACACTGATACACACTAATACACACTGACACACACTGACACACACTAATACACACTGATACACACTAATACACACTGATACACACTGACACACACTGACACACACTAACACACTGATACACACTGACACACACTGACACACACTGACACACACTGATACACACTGACACACACTGACACACACACTAACACACACTGACACACACTAACACACACTGATACACTAACACACTGATACACACTGACACACACTGATACACACACTAACACACACTGACACACACTGACACACACTGATACACACACTAACACACACTGACACACACTAACACACACTGATACACACTAACACACACTGATACACACTGACACACACTGATACACACTAACACACACTGACACACTAACACACTGATACACTGATACACTGACACACACTGATACACACACTAACACACACTGACACACACTAACACACACTGATACACACTGACACACACTGATACACACTGACACACACTGATACACACACTAACACACACTGACACACACTAACACACACTGATACACACTGACACACACTGACACACTGACACACACTGATACACACTGACACACACTGACACACACTGACACACACTGATACACACTGACACACTGATACACTGACACACACTGACACACACTGACACACACTGATACACACTAACACACTGACACACACTACACACACTGATACACACTGACACACACTGATACACACACTAACACACACTGACACACACTAACACACTGATACACACACTGACACACACTGATACACACTGACACACACTGACACACACTGATACACACTGACACACACTGACACACTGATACACACACTGACACACACTAATACACACTGACACACACTGACACTATACACACTGATACACACTGACACACACTGACACACTGATACACACTGACACACACACTGACACACACTAATACACACTGACACACACTGATACACACTAATACACTGACACACACTGACACACACTGACACACACTGATACACACTGACACACACACTGATACACACTGACACACACTAATACACACTGACACACACTGACACACACTAATACACACTGACACACACTGACACACACTGACACACACTAATACACACTGACACACACTGATACACACTAATACACACTGACACACTGACACACACTAATACACACTGATACACACAAATACACACTGATACACACTGATACACTGATACACACTGATACACACTGATACACACACTGACACACACTGACACACACTGATACACACTGAACACACTGACACCACTGACACACACTGACACACACTGACACACTGATACACACTGACACACACACCACTGATACACACTGACACACTGACACACACTGACACACACTGACACACACTGACACACACTGATACACACTGACACACACTGACACACACTGACACACACTGACACACTGATACACACTGACACACACTGACACACACTGATACACACTGATACACACTGAACACTGACACACTGACACACACTGACACACACTGATACACACTGACACACTGACACACACTGACACACTGATACACACTGACACACACTGACACACACTGATACACACTGATACACACTGATACACACTGACACACACTGATACACACTGACACACACTGACACACACTGATACACACTGACACACACTGATACACACTGATACACACTGACACACACTGACACACACTGATACACACTGACACACACTGACACACACTGATACACACTGATACACACTGACACACACTGACACACACTGACACACACTCTGACACACACTGACACACACTGACACACACTGATACACACTGACACACACTGATACACACTGACACACACTGATACACACTGATACACACTGACACACACTGATACACACTGACACACACTGACACACACACTGAGAGCTGCAGCAGAGTAACCCCGCCCCCATTCTCCTCCAAGGCGTCCCGGTTGGCCGACGTCTCCAGACTGCAGGATGACATCATCAAGGTGAGTCCTGGCTGGAGCGAGTCACCTGGAGGTCAGGAGGTCACAATAAGTGAGGACTGCTGTTTGTGTTGCAGCTGACGGACAAGATCAAGAAGCAGGAGAGGTGAGGAGCTGCGGGGCAAAGAGGGCAACAAGCCCCCTTATTGCCCTGAGACTAGGTTAGCTTCACATTGTGGGAACTTATTCAGTCACTGATGGGTATTTTCTCAACCTACATAAAAAGAACCAGAGACAACGTTAATTTGAATCAATTCTTCTGCAGAAGATGCAGAAGAGCTTGGTCTTCCTGCTCTGCTGTCACAGCTGGTCTTTCATTGAATGAAAGGGGATCCTGATAAGGAATCGGGGGCACAGGATGCAAACAGTTTTACGACTGAGCTCCAAAAACTAACCTTTATAGGAAGCACAAACTGGTAACTACTTATGTAAGAATGATTACACAAGTTATGATCAATAATTTCTCCTGCTGTTCAGATTATTAGAAACATTGAAACGTTTTAATCTGCACAAAGTCCAAATAGATCAGCTCCAGTTCAGAAACACGAATGCTTCTCGTTCATCTGTGTCAGAGTTCATGACCCTGATGAACTCTGGTGGTCATCATCATCATCATCACCACCGTGTCTGAGCAGTAATGCTTCAAGACTTTTGTTGTCCAGCAGGGGGCAGCCAAGCTCCAGAAGCCCAGAAATGAACTGAACTGAGCTTCTCTTCCTGAAGTTGCTCTGTGGTTGCTGAAGTTGCTATAACTGTTGCGTTGCCTTGCAGCTTCCAGCGCCTGCAGACGGAGAAGGAGGCTCTGTACAACGACAGCAGGTCAGAACCGGAGCAGTGCCTGATGGGAGAGTGTTCTCTGGATCAGTGGCGTCATTTCCTGTTGACTTTCTTTGATGACATCATCATGAATTCCTGTGAAAGCTGAGCGTTAAATCTGCATATTAATTAATTTGCTCATTTATTTAATATTAATGAGCATTCATTGTTTTTATATTCTCTGCCTTAGAAGGAAGCGTCCAATCAGAACACAGTATTCTCTAAAAACGGGTCAAAGTCACATAAACTGAGCCCAGTTTACAGAACCGGGACCACCCCAACCCAGATAAACGGAATAACAGAACCGGTCCGACCCGCTGTGTCTGTGTTCAGGACGAAGATCAAAGAGATCAACCAGAGGAGAAGAAGAAGTGAAGGCGGCCAACCTGCGGCTGCAGAAGCTGCAGTCAGACCTGACAGCAACCAATCAGGTGAGAGCGCCGACTGTGACATCATCAGCGACTTTATCAACCCATCCGTTAGCACCAAACGGTTAGCACCAAACGGCCTCCATGTTTGTTCAGGCGGCAGCGGAGCTGAAGGAGCAGCTGGAGAGCAAAGAGACACAGCACCAGGAGGCTGTGCAGGCCCTGAAGGACCAGGTAACTACCCCCCCCCCACCCCCCCAAGACTCCAGGTCACTACCCCCGCCCCCCTCCCAAGACTCCAGGGAACTGCCCCCCTGTCTGCCTTTCTGCTTTTTGTCCCTCGTCAATAATTTCTCTCCGCTTTTGTGGAGGAACTGAACCCGGTTCTGGTTCTGCTTTCTGTCTGCACTCACTCTTCTTTTCCTTTCCTTGGCTTCCCTCTCTCTGCTGCCCCCTGCCTGCGGTACTGCAGGCAGCCAATCAGAGCGCGCTCAGTCAGGAGCAGGTGGACGGCGTCCTGCAGGAGAACGATGCTCTGAGGACGAACCTGGCCGCTCTGGAACAGGTAACAGAGCGCCACCCGCAGGAACACCGCCGTCACTGCAGAACGCCCAGAACCCTCCGTCCTCCATCCAGCGGCCCGGTTCCTGCAGAACCTTCAGGGTACTGACCGCTGCTGACCTGTGTCCAGATCCAGACGTCCAAGACGCAGGAGCTGAACCTGCTGCGGGAACAGCAGGAGGCGCTGGTGGCGGAGCTGCAGCAGAGGAGGGCGGAGCAGGAGGGCCTGCTGGCCCAGAGGGACGACCTCAGCTCCCAGCTGCAGGTAGCGTCCGGCAGGTTCTGACCCGCCGCCGCTAACAGGCTCCTCACGACTGACCCGACCCGCTGCTGTTCCCCCGCAGGAGTCCAGCTTCGCCAACAGGAAGCTGCTGGAGCAGCTGGCAGAGGAGACGCAGGAGAAGGAGCAGCTGCTGGGGGAGCTGGAGGAGACCAGGAAGGTAGGAAAGACACACACGCTACACACACGCTACACACACGCTACACACACGCTACACACACGCTACACACACGCTGCACACATGCTACACACACGCTACACACACGCTGCACACACGCTGCACACACGCTACACACACGCTACACACACGCTGCACACACGCTGCACACACGCTACACACACGCTACACACACGCTGCACACACGCTGCACACACGCTGCACACACGCTACACACACGCTGCATTGATCCCCAGACGGCGGAGAAGCGGAAGTCCATGTTGGATGACTTGGCATCTCAGCTGAACCAGGAGAAGTCTGACCACAAGGAGGCGCTGTCTGACCTCAGGCTACAGCATGAGAAGGAGGTGAGAGCAGAGCTGCAGGTTTCTGGCCTCTAAGGTACCGGGGAGGTCCAAACATTACTTTGACTGGGCCGTCTGAAGCTGATTGGTGCGTCTCACCCCTCAGGTCCTCGGGGTGAGAGCTCGCTACGAGAAGGAACTGCGGGTTCTGCACGAGGAGAAGAACCGCTCCGAGGAGGAGATACGGCTGCAGCTCAAGGAGGAGAAGGTTCTGGTTCTGGTTCCGGAGCAGCGGACCAGTCCGGGCCGGAATCTGACGACCGGTTTGTGTTTCAGGGCCGGACCAGAGAGCTGCAGGGTCTGCAGCAGCAGCTGGAGGAGCTGCAGCAGCAGCTCCAGGCCATGGAGGGAACCAGGGGCTGGTTCGAGAGGCGGCTGAAGGAGGCCGAGGTGGGTCCAGCTCCGGCCTGGAACCGGTACTGGTGGGCTTGGCTAGCAGAACCGCGGCCTGATTGCTGTCTGTGTGTGAGCAGGAGAACCTGGAGACGAACAGCGAGCGGCACCGGCAGGATGTCCAGATGCTGCAGGAGGAACACAGCCAGCAGCTGCAGGTAGCTGGAGGTCAGGGGTCAGGGGCCGGTTTTCTCTGGGGCAACAGGGAGCATCACTGGTGGAGTAACAGTCACTAACACAAGAAGGTCAGAGGTCGGTGTCTGATCTTATTTGAATAAATCAGAGCGCTGCTGTCGACCAGTGGGGGGCGCAGCAGCTCTCCCAGCCTAACGGTGGCCTTTGACTAGACCTTTTCTGAGCCCTTCCCAGATCAGTGGAACAGGAATAATTCTGTGTTTGCGTGCTGATTAGACGCACTTCTCGTTAGAGTTGCCGTCTCCCTGGCAACAGAGAGGTTAAACTGTTCCAACAGCCAATCAGAGCAGGAGTTTCCCTCCATCTGTCAGATCCTGCTGCAGTGGCGGCCAGCAGGGGGCGATGCTGCCGAGAAACCAGACACTTCCTGACACCTGATGAGTCGGATTGGGCCATCAGAAGGACGGTCATTAGAAGGTCCATGTTGCTCCCAGAACCACTATGGAGGTTCTGGATGACCCGGTCTAACAGAACATGGACTGAGTTCAGCTGGATGTCTTTTTTTCACACCTGGACGTAGATGGTGGTTCCGGGTGGGCTCTGGATGGATTCTGAGTGGGTCCTGGGTGGCTCTGGATGGTTCTGTTCTGTGGTTTTTCTTTAATCGGTCTAATTAAGGGAATGAAATCCTGGCGGTTTATTTATGTCAGGTGTTTATTCCCTGTAGGAGAAACGAGCTGAGATGGAGGGATGGAGGCAGCAGCTGGTGGAGGTGGAGAAAGAGAGAGATGGAGACAGAGAGACCATCAGGAAGCTCAGACAGGTGAGGTGTTCGTTGTCAGGTTCTCACCGACTGCATGCTAAGCTACTGAAGCAGCCAGCAGCTTCAGCAGCGACGGCGCCATTTCCACACTATTCCACTAGGAGGCGCAGTTGAGGCGCTTTTCCATTGGCAGTGCCCACCAACCGGTTCGGGTCTGCCCGGTTCAACTCTCTGCTGCAGCGACACTCGTTATCGGAGAACCTCCAGGTTCTGGTTCCGATGGACCCAAATAAGCCCTGATGTTTAACAATCTTATAGAAATTCATTGCTGGGGGCGTACTGTGGTGGCACAGGGCGTTGGCCCGCCCCACGTACTGTCAAACATACGAGCCGCAAGTGCCGCAACAACTCTTCAGAGAAAAAAAATGATTTAAAATAAAAAATTCATGATGATGGCGACTCAGATCAGTTGATTATTTCACCGAGCTTGTAAATATTATTACATCCTTATGGATTTAGGCAATGCAGTCAAAACATGAGAGAAAGACACGTTTCTCTTTCATCTGTGTTTCGGCACAGCTAGCAGTTAGCAGCTAGCATCTACTGACGAGCAGTTAGCAGCTAGCATCTACCGACAAGCTGTTAGCGGCTAGCATCTATTGACGAGCAGTTAGCGGCTAGCATCTACCGACTAGCAGTTAGCAGCTAGCATCTACCGACTAGCAGTTAGCAACTAGCATCTACCGACGAGCAGTTAGCAGCCAGCATCTACCGACGAGCAGTTAGCAGCTAGCATCTACCACCGAGCTGTTAGCGGCTAGCATCTACCGACCAGCAGTTAGCGGCTAGCATCTACCACCGAGCTGTTAGCGGCTAGCATCTACCGACCAGCAGTTAGCAGCTAGCATCTACCGACAAGCAGTTAGCAGCTAGCATCTACCGACGAGCAGTTAGCGGCTAGCATCTACCGACGAGCAGTTAGCAGCTAGCATCTACCGACAAGCTGTTAGCGGCTAGCATCTATTGACGAGCAGTTAGCGGCTAGCATCTACCGACTAGCAGTTAGCAGCTAGCATCTACCGACTAGCAGTTAGCAACTAGCATCTACCGACGAGCAGTTAGCAGCCAGCATCTACCGACGAGCAGTTAGCAGCTAGCATCTACCACCGAGCTGTTAGCGGCTAGCATCTACCGACCAGCAGTTAGCGGCTAGCATCTACCACCGAGCTGTTAGCGGCTAGCATCTACCGACCAGCAGTTAGCAGCTAGCATCTACCGACAAGCAGTTAGCAGCTAGCATCTACCGACGAGCAGTTAGCGGCTAGCATCTACCGACAAGCAGTTAGCAGCTAGCATCTACCGACCAGCATCTAGCATCTACCAACGAGCAGTTAGCAGCTAGCATCTACCGACGAGCAGTTAGCGGCTAGCATCTACCGACGAGCAGTTAGAGGCTAGCATCTATCGACAAACAGTTAGCAGCAGGCATCTACTGACTAGCAGTTAGCAGCTAGCATCTACTGACTAGCAGTTAGCATCTACCGACTAGCAGTTAGCGGCTAGCATCTACCGACGAGCAGTTAGCAGCTAGCATCTAGCATCTACCGGCAAGCAGTTAGCAGCTAGCATCTACCGACGAGCAGTTAGCAGATAGCATCTACCACCGAGCTGTTAGCGGCTAGCATCTACCGACGAGCAGTTAGCAGCTAGCATCTACCGACAAGCTGTTAGCGGCTAGCATCTATTGACGAGCAGTTAGCGGCTAGCATCTACCGACTAGCAGTTAGCAGCTAGCATCTACCGACTAGCAGTTAGCAACTAGCATCTACCGACGAGCAGTTAGCAGCCAGCATCTACCGACGAGCAGTTAGCAGCTAGCATCTACCACCGAGCTGTTAGCGGCTAGCATCTACCGACCAGCAGTTAGCGGCTAGCATCTACCACCGAGCTGTTAGCGGCTAGCATCTACCGACCAGCAGTTAGCAGCTAGCATCTACCGACAAGCAGTTAGCAGCTAGCATCTACCGACGAGCAGTTAGCGGCTAGCATCTACCGACGAGCAGTTAGCAGCTAGCATCTACCGACAAGCTGTTAGCGGCTAGCATCTATTGACGAGCAGTTAGCGGCTAGCATCTACCGACTAGCAGTTAGCAGCTAGCATCTACCGACTAGCAGTTAGCAACTAGCATCTACCGACGAGCAGTTAGCAGCCAGCATCTACCGACGAGCAGTTAGCAGCTAGCATCTACCACCGAGCTGTTAGCGGCTAGCATCTACCGACCAGCAGTTAGCGGCTAGCATCTACCACCGAGCTGTTAGCGGCTAGCATCTACCGACCAGCAGTTAGCAGCTAGCATCTACCGACCAGCAGTTAGCAGCTAGCATCTACCGACGAGCAGTTAGCGGCTAGCATCTACCGACAAGCAGTTAGCAGCTAGCATCTACCGACCAGCATCTAGCATCTACCAACGAGCAGTTAGCAGCTAGCATCTACCGACGAGCAGTTAGCGGCTAGCATCTACCGACGAGCAGTTAGAGGCTAGCATCTATCGACAAACAGTTAGCAGCAGGCATCTACTGACTAGCAGTTAGCAGCTAGCATCTACTGACTAGCAGTTAGCATCTACCGACTAGCAGTTAGCGGCTAGCATCTACCGACGAGCAGTTAGCAGCTAGCATCTAGCATCTACCGGCAAGCAGTTAGCAGCTAGCATCTACCGACGAGCAGTTAGCAGATAGCATCTACCACCGAGCTGTTAGCAGCTAGCATCTACCGACCAGCAGTTAGCGGCTAGCATCTACCAACGAGCAGTTAGCGGCTAGCATCTACCGACAAGCAGTTGCAGCTAGCATCTACCGACCAGCAGTTAGCGGCTAGCATCTACCAATGAGCTGTTAGCGGCTAGCATCTACCGACCAGCAGTTAGCAGCTAGCATCTACCGACAAGCAGTTAGCATCTAGCATCTACCGATGAGCAGTTAGCGGCTAGCATCTACCGACAAGCAGTTAGCAGCTAGCATCTACCGACCAGCAGCTAGCATCTACCGACGAGCTGTTAGCAGTTGGCATCTACCGACGAGCAGTTAGCAGCTAGCATCTACCGACGAGCTGTTAGCGGCTAGCAGCTACCGACGAGCTGTTAGCGGCTAGCATCTACCGACGAGCTGTTAGCGGCTAGCATCTACGACGAGCTGATAGCGGCTAGCAGTTAACGACGAGCTGTTAGCGGCTAGCTCTACGACGAGCTGTTAGCGCTAGCATCTACCGACGAGCTGTTAGCGGCTAGCATCTACCGACGAGCTGTTAGCGGCTAGCATCTACTGACGAGCTGTTAGCAGTTAGCTGCTGATAAACATTGATCCAGGCAGAGCGGCTCTGACAGCAGCGGCACGTCCTCAGGAAACTTACGATCTAAACGCAACTCAAGGTTGTTTAGGATAAATCTTCTATCCAATCAGTGAATGCAGTCAGCAGCCAATCAGATGGTTTCTTTGCCGTGCCGAGATCAGTCCTGCTAGTTCTACTGGGTCCAGTCGTGGTCCTGGTCCATTCAGCCGGTCTTCCTGTTCCAGGAGCTGAAGGACACGGTGGACGGCCAGCGGATCCTGGAGAAGAAGGGCAGCTCTGCGGTGAGTCCCAGCCGGCCCGCAGCAGGTGAGAGTCGTGCGGCGCCGACTAACTCTGGGCGTCTCTGCAGCTGAAGGACCTGAAGCGGCAGCTGCAGCTGGAGAGGAGGCGGGCCGACAAGCTGCAGGAGCGGCTACAGGAGATCCTGACCAACAGCAGGACCAGGACAGGTAGACGCACCTGAGGCGGCGATGTCATTACCGACCGCACTCACTGGCCTCCAGAACCAGAACCAGGTGCGGCTGTATTAGTTCTGTCCAACTGTTTGTCCTTCAGGTCTGGAGGAGCTGGTCCTGTCTGAGATCAGCAGTCCCAGCCGCACCAGCAGACCGGAGACTCGTCCTCTGTGTCGTCGTTCTCCTACAGAGACGTGATGAAGGACGCGCAGCGGCCAACCAGAACCGGGTGGGTCAACTTCTTCAGCTTCAGCGTCTTTTACCAAAACTTTCTGAGCCGCTGACAAAATCCATGTTGAAACTCGTATCATCTGAGCTTCTGAAGAAACTCACGGGCTCCTGTAGCAGTCAGTACTACAGCGGCTCTGAGAAAGCCTCTGACTACAGGTCCACAGTAACATGCTGCCTGCTCCTGATTGGCTCTGCTGGAAGTTCACCCTAAGCTAGGGGTCACAGCTACCCCCAGAGGACGGGTCTGGTTGCTACGGTTACGCCTCATTACAAAAGAAGACGACCCAAGAACCAGAGACGAGCAGGGCGCCATCTTGATACCAGTAAATAGTAATAAAACAAACTGGATCCATGTCGGCCGGACAGAAACATCAACGCATCACCAGTTTCCAGGTGTTTTCAGGTGTTTCCAGGTGTTTCCAGGTCTTTCCAGGTTTTCCAGGTCTTTCCCATGTATCTGGTGTCTCCGTCAGGAGTTGGTGTAGAGCTCATTATAGTGTTGGTAGGTGTAGGTGACCTCTGACCCCAGTGTGTCTCCGTCCAGTTCCGGCGCCGGCAGCCCACAGTCGCAGCGACCCGCCGATCTTTCTGATGACGAGGTCGGGGAACTGTTCCAGCGGCTGGCCGAGGTCCAGCAGGAGAAATGGATGCTGGAGGAGAAGGTGAGATGCTGCCATGGTTACCGTGGTAACTGTATCGGATAAGCCATTGCCATGGTAACCACGCTGCTCTACCTGGTGCAGGTGAAGCACCTGGAGGTGAGCTGCTCGTCGATGGCCGAGGACATCTGCAGGAAGAGCGCCATCATCGAGACCTACGTGATGGACAGCCGCAGAGGTGAGGACACCAGAACCGGGCCGGGTCTCCTTCACTGTTACCGTCCAGAATCTTCTGGTCTCATCCTGACCTCTGACCTCTCCTCAGACGTGTCGGGCAGCGCATTGGCAGCTCATGGAGGCTCCCAGGGAGACAGAGGATTTTGGGCTCGGTGCTCAGAGACCTGGTGAAACCCGGAGACGAGAACCTGAGGGAGATGAACAAGAAGCTGCAGAACATGCTGGAGGAGCAGCTGACCAAAAACATGCACCTGCAGAAGGTACCACGCTAAGCATGCTAAACAAGCTTAGCAAGCTAAACATTAAGCATGCTAAACTTGCCAAGCATGCTGAACACGCTATGCATGCCAAACATGCTTAGCAACTTAAACACGCCAAGCATTCTTAACATGCTATGCATGGTAAACAAGCTAAGCACACTGAACACGCTATGCATTCTAAATATGCTAAACTCGCAATGCATGTTAAACCCGCTATGCACGCTGAACAAGCTAAGCATGCTAAAATGCTAAAAATGTTTATCAAGCTAAACACACTAAGAATCCTGAACAAGCAAACATACTAAACATGCAGTGCATGCTAAACACTCTGAGCATGATAAACAAGCTTAGCAAGCTACACATGCTTAGCATGCTAAACAAGCTCAGCATGTTAATCAAGCTAAATACGCTAAACAAGCTAAATAAGCATGCTAAACACGCTATGCACACTAAACCCGCTGAACAAGCTAAGCATGCTAACAATGCTAAACAAGTTTATCAAGCCAAAACACACTAAGCATGCTAAACATGCAGTGCACGCTAAACCCACCATGCACGCTAAACAAGCTTAGTATGCTGAACATATTTAGCATGCTAAACACGCTTAACACTCTGAATATGGTTAGGATGATAAAGCATGTGAAACAGAACATGCAGTTTTCTTTTTTTGTCATAATCAGCAACTCCTACCTGTTATCTGTTGATATGAGATCTTATATTTATCAAATATATATTTGACTTTCTGAAATTGGGTCTCCGATGCTCCGCCTCCAGGACATCGTCCCAACATGGCTCCTCTTTTAACCTTTTTACCAGCGTTGCTCTGAGCAGCAGCTCCTATAATGACCTCAGGTGTTTGCTAAATTCTGCTGGCTAGTCTCAAGGAGCTGGGTGGGGGAGGAGCTGCGCCTCGAAGGCGGGGTTAGGTCCACCTATGTGTTTCAGCATATGTTAGCATCATGTGCGTATCGCTTCAAACATGCATGAAAAACATCTCAGCAACACTCAGGTTGTTTCTGAGGGAAAAAACATGAAAGCATTACTTGAACATCTAAAATTCGATACAGCTTCATTTATTCATTTTCTGATTTTTTAAAAATTGGTTTGTTTGTTTTGCATAAAATGGTTGAAGGCAAAAGCTGCAGAAAGTGTTCTGGAGTGGAGTGACCTGACGGTTCTGACCCAAACCTCCGTGTCTCCCTGCAGGACCTGGAGCTGCTGTCCCAGGAATTAGTCCGGCTCAGTAAAGAGGGTGGTCCAGACGTTAGTGTGCGCCACCGGTTCCGGATGAGACTATAATCTGGATCCGTCCTGCTTGCTTCCTTCCTCCTCACTTGCTGCATTCACAACCTGCTGGGGTCTGTCTACTTTCTGGAGCCGGTGTGGTCTGGGCCGGAGGACGAGGATCTCTGAAGGTCTCATTTCTTTTGCTGAATGTACTGTAATTAGACTGCACCGCTCACCTCTCTGGGCCCTGGCTATGACCTGGAGAACTCTGTGTTTATCTTACAGCATGCTGACCTCTGACCTCATCAGTTCATGGACTTTGTGGTCACCATGACAACTGAGCACAGACTGACAGCCAATCAGTGAGCTCGCTTTCCGGTTGTTATGGTTACTGTTTTGGTTTCGCTCTCACAATGCTGAACTTTACTAGAAAACGTTCTGAAGACGGAACCGGAGATTCTACCGCATCCGCCCGTCACTACAGCCAAACTGGGCCACCTTGACCTGCAGCAGGAGGTCCGACTGGTTCTGGTTCTGAATGGTTCTGTCTGCTACAATAAACAGAACCACACAGTCCAGATGTTCCTGACCAGGTCACAAAGTATTTGAGTTTAGGTCGGTTCTGGACCTGTTCCAGAATGAGACCAGATTCTGCAGAAGCAAACGGAACCATCTGACTGGTTCTGATCCGAACCAGCAGACAGTGAACCTATCCTGGTCCTGACCGATTTTGGGATCTGTTAAACCGGAACCGGTTCTTTCCTGAAAACAAAAGTTTCTGTTAAGTTTCACACAGAACCAGCTGATGTTCTGACCCAGAGTAGAACGGACCAGCAGGTCGGGCTTCTGCTGTGTGGCAAGTTCTGTAGCGTCTCTGATCCAGAACCGGACCTGCAGCAATTAATCACTAATCAAGGGTTAGACTACTTCCTGGTTTCCCTCCCCGACAGAATCAAAGTTCTGCAGCTGGTTCTGGTTTCAGCTCTCCTCTGGACTGTGTCTACTTCCTGGAAACATTTCCTCTGCTCATGCAGAGTCCGGATCAGTCTACTTTGTGCAGAATTCACGTTTCCATTATGAGTTTGAACTTATGACTTACTGACCATTCGGCTCTGACTACATACTGGACTCTGCTTTCGACTGACGTCTCGGCTCGTTTTGGCCGGAGCCGGTTCTTTTCTGTGCAGCTTCAGGAAGTTTGAGTTTTATCATCTGAAACATCTAATCTGAACAGGTTTTGTGTGCCGTTTGGATCAGAACCGTGTTTGTACCGTCTGGTTCTGTAAATAATCGCTGTGATTTAAAGAATAAACTATTTATGTCTGATCATCATGACGCTAATTATTGTATCCATGAAGAGAAATAAAATCCTGTGTGGAACCAGCGCCAAGTCAGGAGTCATTTCTTGACCAGAGGTCGTCTTAACAGAATATTTTTCATATTTGACTGGAAAATGTAAAGCCCATCGGTCATTTTACAGGTTATAATTCACAGCCCTGACTGCACATGGACGGACATTGTAGACAGAGTTCATCGCAGAGGCAACTAAAATCAATCAATGAAAAATTATTTCTGAAAATCATCTTTCTGACCGGAGCAGACGGCGTGTTGAAGAGTTATTCCTAAAAAAATACTTTAGTATATTTCAAACTTACTTACATTTGTAAGTACATTTTCAAGTATAAATTGTACTACCAATAAATATATAGAAAGTATACTCAAAGCATCCTTGTACCAATTTGACATTATAACTTGAAACATACTCAAATACAATTGTACCAAAATTGTATTTTTAATTTTAAGAAATATAGTAAATAAAAGTATACTTTTAAGAGAACAAAATATGTATTTTCTCAAGTGTAAATATACACGTACTCAAGTGTATATTTAAAAGATATTAAATATCTTTAAAACATATTTTAAACTAGTATTTTTTTAATTAACTTAAAATTTATTTAATGCTTACTATAACTGATTACTCTCAGTATGTTGTAAATAATATCTCAATGTAATTTAATGCCTTTCAGGTGCCTTAATAATCTTTTACTATTTTTGAGAAAACTGCAAAGAATAAAAAAAATTTGTCCTTATAGTGGAACTTGATGTAAAGTTTGGATCATAACTTTGAATAACTTTGTTATTCACAACAAAGTTGTGAATAATGTGTCCAATCCACTTTCAGATGCATCTATAAGTGAACAGCTTTAGCTCCAGTTCACACTCCAGACCAGATGGTGGCGGTATTGCAAACTTCAGATTTTTTAAAAAGCGCCAAAAAAGTAAGAAAATCCAAGAAGATAACAGACGCTGTTCAAATTTGCCATTTTTACTTACATAATATTGAGTTAAAAGTAGAGAGGGCCTGATAATAGTTAGTAGCTTAGGTAAATTCAAGCTGGTGACGTCCTAGTCCAAGTTAGACGACAACAACAGGAACAGAACCGATGGAAATGAAATGTGGGTCACGAAAGGAGCTAAAAGGACACAGGATGCTAACGTGTTGCTAGCTGGTGGTAAGTTCGCTTCAAATGCTAATTATCTTTGTTTAATTATAAACAGTGTGGCAAAGATAAAAACAAACTAACAGAAAATTATTATTTGTTGAATTTTATTGTGACTTTTCTGATTATTACTAAACAATCATTCAGCTTCATGTTCTGTTTGTTGCAACGTCATACAGTTTTCTTCACAACCTGGTTTTAATGAAGCTCATTATTCCAGAGACTTTGATATTGTGAAGCTGTTATTATAACTCCTTCATCATTGATTTTATCATTAACATATTCTTGCAGATTAAGATGAAAGATGAAGCCAGAGATCAGAAATAAGAAAACCTAAATCCTTTCCTGTCTCAGAGGCTCTAGCTCCACCGGATCACCAACCAGATCACCAACCAGATCACCAACCGGATCACCAACCGGATCACCAACCAGATCATCAACCAGATCATCAACCAGATCATCAACCAGATCACCAACCAGATCACCAACCAGATCATCAACCAGATCATCAACCAGATCATCAACCAGATCACCAACCAGATCACCAACCGGATCATCAACCAGATCACCAACTGGATCACCAACCGGATCATCAACCGGATCATCAACCGGATCACCAACCAGATCACCAACCAGATCAACCGGATCATCAACCGGATCATCAACCGGATCATCAACCGGATCATCAACCGGATCATCAACCAGATCACCAACCGGATCACCAACCGGATCATCAACCGGATCATCAACCGGATCATCAACCAGATCACCAACCAGATCAACCGGATCATCAACCGGATCATCAACCGGATCATCAACCAGATCACCAACCGGATCACCAACCGGATCACCAACCGGATCACCAACCGGATCACCAACCGGATCATCAACCAGATCACCAACTGGATCACCAACCGGATCATCAACCAGATCACCAACTGGATCACCAACCGGATCATCAACCAGATCACCAACCAGATCACCAACCAGATCACCAACCGGATCATCAACCAGATCACCAACTGGATCACCAACCAGATCACCAACCAGCTCTGAGGATGAAGCTCCACATCGTCTTCATGATGAAGGAGTTCTATTTACTGAGCAGCTGGCCACAGTTTACCAGCAGAATCTGGTGAGTTTCTGACACTAAGAGCTTAATAAACATCATTTAATTTTAAAATAACTGGACAGAATTGATTCCCCTTGTTAATCCACTGTTTGTGTTTCATAGAGTTTATTCATCGTAATCTTTCAGGGCCCGTTTTGGACCGGTGACCCGTCCAGGATGAACCCGCCTGTCATCTGTTGGCTGATGGAGACGGGCCCCACCTTGCTGATCGATGCTGATCGATGCTGATCGATGCTAATCGGTGCTGATCGATGCTGATCGATGCTGATCGATGCTGATCGATGCTGATCGATGCTGATCGATGCTGATCGGTTCTGATCGGTGCTGATCGGTGCTAATCGATGCTGATCGGTGCTGATCGGTTCTGATCGGTGCTGATCGGTGCTGATCGGTTCTGATCGGTGCTAATCGGTGCTGATTGGTTCTGATCGGTGCTGATCGGTGCTGATCGGTTCTGATCGGTGCTAATCGATGCTGATCGGTGCTAATCGGTTCTGATCGGTGCTAATCGGTGCTGATCGGTTCTGATCGGTGCTAATCGATGCTGATCGGTTCTGATCGGTACTGATCGGTTCTGATCGGTTCTGATTCTGGACGGTGTTTGTGGTGTTCCCCAGGGCTCAGTATCAGGACTAAAGTTGTTTATCTTATACATAAATGATATATGTTAGGTTTCCAAAACAATTTTGTTTTATTTGCAGATAATACAAACATTTTAGTACAGGTGAAAATTTACAGCATCTTTTGATGGAAATGAATTTAGAGTAATTTAAATTCAAAAAGTGGTTTGATATTAACAAATTATCATTAAATTTAGGTAAAACCAAATTTATGTTATTTGGGAATCTTAAAAGGCGAAGAGATTTACTAATAATATAACTGGAGAAGGGACTGACATTCAGTTTTTGGGAATATTGATTCATAATAAGATCTGTTGGAAAATCCTTATTAAATATGTTGAATGTAAAATAGTTACAAGTATTGCAGTTATCTCTAATGCTGGAACATTTCTGCTCCTTCAGGTTCTCCACTCATCAATTATTTTGCCGTATTCAAGTTACTGTTTGTTGCAACACTTATCCAGCTTCACTTCAACCATGATGCACATTACAGATCAGAGCCATTCCAGTAATTGATTTTTATTGTCATACCAACAATTTATTTATAGATTCTTACCTCCTGAAACTCCCAGATTTGGTAGCGTTTCAAACTTTTATGCATAAAGTTAGAAACAAACTACGACCAGAAAAATGATTTAGAGATGGTGGGAATACGGCTGCAGAGAAAAGCTCAGCTGCACAACTTTGAACGTTCAAACAAAGGAAAGATCTGGAATAAAGTCACTAAACAGCTGAAACAAAGTGCAAGCATGAGGCTTTTTAAGAAAAGAATCAAAATAGTTATTATTCAAAAGTATCAGGATGAACAGGGATTATGAATTTAACTGGGAATAACGACACTATGGATGACTGGGTGCAGCATGTTGTATGTAAATGAGTGTAAATATATTATTATGTAAATATGCAGGTAGATGAGTATATATACATATAAATGTATGTAATACTTGCATCTGGTTCAGGAAATATTATTTCAGATTTATTATTACTGTTTTTTGTTTTGTGTTTTTTAAAGGATACTGGAAACAGGAGGATTATTTATGCTATGAATTAATGAATGGATTGTATGATTATATAAGTGAAACTTCATCCTTTTCAGACTCAAAGTCACAGAATAAGTGATATTTGCATGGACTTAAGTTTGTAAATTTGACAATAAGGTATTTACACTTAGAAACATGAAAGTCTTTATTATGATGTTTTGTTTTTCTGGTGAAAAGTCTGAAATAAATGATCATCAAATCAAAATCCAACCTGGATGTGTGCTCAGGGATCCAGTGGATCGGAGGTCAGGGACCCAGTGGATTGGAGGTCAGGGATCCAGTGGATCGGAGGTCAGGGATCCAGTGGATCGGAGGTCAGGGATCCAGTGGATCGGAGGTCAGGGATCCAGTGGATCGGAGGTCAGGGACCCAGTGGATCGGAGGTCAGGGACCCAGTGGATCGGAGGTCAGGGATCCAGTGGATCGGAGGTCAGGGACCCAGTGGATCGGAGGTCAGGGATCCAGTGGATCGGAGGTCAGGGATCCAGTGGATCGGAGGTCAGGGACCCAGTGGATCGGAGGTCAGGGACCCAGTGGATCGGAGGTCAGGGACCCAGTGGATCGGAGGTCAGGGACCCAGTGGATCGGAGGTCAGGGACCCAGTGGATCGGAGGTCAGGGACCCAGTGGATCGGAGGTCAGGGACCCAGTGGATCGGAGGTCATGTGACTTGCTGTGGCCAAATGAGCTGCTGCTTTACGTTGATGCTGGTGGGAAAATGACGCAATCAAGCAAAGACTCTGAGAAGTTTTGATATTGTCAAGATAATCAGCCCAAGGGTCACAGTTCACAGGTCAGTAAGAAGCTTTAATGAAATATTTCAAGAAAGTGGAGAGTGTGTTGCTGAAGCAGCTTTTATCCCCGACATGTTGCTGCACGGATCATTTTGTGCAGGTGTTTCAGTAACTCATGTTCAAAATGATGCAAAAAGGACATTCAAAAACATAAATGTGCATCGGACAGAACGTTGTTTCACTCTTAATTCCTGATCAACTCATCTTTGCTCTCCTTGGGCTGTTTATTGGTTCCCATGCAACGTGTGACATTAATAATAAATCAGCCGTTTTTCTACATTTTTTCCAGGACAAATTTTATAATTTGTTCATAGAACATGGCAATATTCAGAGCAATAATCAAATAGGAGGAAATATTTCATAAAGCATAAATCCATTTTAAATCATGGATCCTATGAAGTAAAATGAAAATATGGACCATAAAGAGAAATTTGCTTTGTTCTCTGACAGAAACCAAACTATCGACTTAAATGCAGAGAGAAAATATATTTTACATTTCTAAATATCAGCATCTTTAATCCACATTTGATAGAATGAGTAATATTAATGGTGACTGTGCTCAACCAAACCCAAAAAGGGTTTTGCAGCTTTAATATTTGCTGCATTAAGACAATCATAAGTCCAGGTCTGGTCTGTGGGATTCAGCAGGACTGAAGGTTTTACCACCAAGTTCACTTTGATTCATTTGGCTTCACAGAAGTGACTTTAAAAATGTTTCAGAACATTTTGATGCAGAATCTCATGCTAGATCAAATCAGACAATAAAAGGAAAATATGTGATCATTCTTCACAAAAATATTCCTGAATTATGTTTTCAAGCATTGAGCAAATAAAGGCTGATTTCATAAATTATGGCTGAAAAGTTCCTTTGTCAGCAGTTCCATCACCAACTGAAACACGTTACATACATGAATTAGATTACTTCCAGTTTAACATGTTTATATTTCATAGTGTGTTTAATACAAAAGTTATTTTTGAAAGACGCTGTTAATCTGACAAGCCTGATCAGGATGTAAATCCTAAGTTATTAATTTATGGAATGAGACTGTCTGGCATTGACATGTAAGTTTTGGGTTTATTCTGAGCGCCGCTTTGACTGTGGCTCTGTCTATTTCCTGGAGAAGATGTTGCTTAGCCAAAAGTTTGTCAGAAGAAAGTTGCCGTGTCATGATGGAGGTCATGTGACTGGAGACGCCGCCGTCACCTTTAATTAGCAACTTCTGGTCCCTCAGTGGGGAGATTAGAGAGGTGAGCACCTTAACGAGATGGCAGCTGATTGGCTGAGGCTGGAGGTTAATTGGGAGAAGGACCTGGAGGTAATTAAAAGCTTCAGGCTGCAGAACCTGAGCGACTCACGGCTCCGTCGAGTTCCTGCTGCAAACTGTCTGCTGAGGTGAAACGAGACCAAAGTCATTTAGCCGCAACGTTTCCACTCGACGGTTTTATAACCAACGTTCAGTCTGGACAGCAGCTTCAGCAACACGTCAAAGAGCTTCACATCCTGAACACTGCAGACACAGAGAACAGCAATCAGATCATTGATCCACGTCCACTTATTGATCAGATCAGCTCAACCAGCTGCTGTCAGTCTGGATTTAAAGGAGCTCAGGGTTTCGGCTGCTTCTCACTTCTCTGGAAGTTTGTTCCAGATCTAATGCTGCTTTTGCATGTTTGGTTCTGGTTCTGCTGCAGAACCAGAACCAGAACCTGATGGGTCCAGCAGCAGCAGATCTTTAATGTATTGAGGTGCTGAGCAGGTCAGTGGTTTATAAACCGGGCCGTGTGGAACCGGGCCGTGTGGAACCGGGCCGTGTGGAACCGGGCCGTGTGGAACCGGGCCGTGTAGAACCGGGCCGTGTCTCTATCCTCCCAGTCAGAACTCCAGCTGCAGGTTTGAATTGGACCAAAACATTTCGCTGCTTCTCGACTCACGAGATCCAATCGTTGTAGAAACTGAATTAAAAACTTGGTGATTTTGTGTTTTTGCAGTGAAGCTGCAATTAGATGATCTGATGGGCTCCAGGCGATTCCAGGTTATTCCAGGCGATTCCAGGTGATTCCAGGTTATTCCAGGTTATTCCAGGTGATTCCAGGTGATTCCCGCTCCCGGGACGAGTCAGTTCTGATCCACATTATTTCTGAACTGAATCTCTGATCAGCGGATCGGGACCTGCAGTGAGACTGAAGGAGGCTCCGTGTTGGACCGGGCCGGTTCTGAAGGACGAGCCTTCATCACAGCTGGTTGAGGAAGACGAGCTGATGATGTAACGCGGCCCGCATCGTCCCGGGAAACCGGGGGTTGCCACGGAGATCCCGCATGTCTGGAGGGGCGGAGCCTCAAAGGTTTAAAAAATTCAGGAGTTTTCAGCAGCAAGAGGCTAAATATAGACTTCCTGTCGGGACAGGGCCGCCTTCTGGGTCGATCAGAACCGCTTAGAACCAGAACACGACTGTAACTTCAGAAGGAGAACGTCCTGTTTCAGCAGCGTGGTTCCGGTCCGGTTTCAGATCCGCGCTGAACCCCACACATTTGGAGGCCGTTCAGCTGGAGAACCAGAAAACTGCAGGTCCAGAACCGGGTTGGGTCCAGAACTGGAGCTGTCCAGTCAGGAAGAGAAAAACTTTAGTTCAGAAGAAAACTTGATGGAAGGACAAACTGGTGTTGAGATTGAAGCTGACAGAGCAGCTGAAGGAACCATCATCCATCTGGTGAGGAGGTTCTGATGGTTCTGGTGGTTCTGATGGTTCTGATGGTTCTGAT